CCAAGAGAAGGACTGTACTGTTTTCCTAGGGCTGTCATAACAACATACCACAGAATGAGTGACTTAAAGAAATTTGTTTTCTCACAGTGTCTGGAGGCCGGAAGTCCTAGATCAAGGTGTTAGCAGGGTTGGTTTCTTCTGAAGGCCTCTCTCCTTGGCTTGTAGATGGCTATCTTCTCCCTGAGTCTTTACATGGTCTTCTCTCTGTGCTTATCTCTGTCCTAATCTCCTCTTCATGTGAGGACACAAGTCATATTGGATTAGAGCCCATCCAATGATCTTATTTTAACTTAATTACCTCTTTAAAGCCCCATCTCCAAACACAGTCACATTCTAAGGTACTGGGGGTTAGGACTTCCACATGAATTTGGGGAGATACAATTCAGCCCATAACAAGGACTAAGCTCCTCGTTTTGTATTTAAACACAGTCACTATTACTAAAAATGTTGACTAGAGATGAGAATATTCCCACCCTTTTATTCACCAGGAACATAGGTGTGACTCTCATATTGTAGATGGTGTGAATAATTAGAGGGGCACAGTTGGATGCCTCAAGGGAAGCCTAAGGAGGTGGCACTGTCAACTTCTCACTCAGAGTTCAGGCTAGTCTTGTCATAAGTTCCCTACCGTCTCTGTGTCTTTGGGAAGGAGGTGAAGTCTCTCCTTACCATCCATGGGACCTCTGATCAGGTGACCGATTTCTGAACTTAATCTACCCTCCCATGCCCAGCCCTTGACTCCACCGTAGGAGAGACCAGCCTCTCTGCCCTGGATGGGCTTCAGTATCAGGTTCAGATGCTTTCCCAGAGGCCCCATTTTGCTCAAGGAGATTTTCCACAGTTTAGTGTTCATCTGTAAGCACTTGTTTAGTTGGTACCTTGTGCAACCTCACTGACAGTCTTACTCCTGGCATCCCTGGCCTTTATGCACCAGATGCCAAGAGCACCTACATTTGTGACAACCAAAAATGTCTCCCTACATTGCCTTATGTCCCCTAAGAGAGGGACAAAATCACCCTGGGTGAGAAACACCGTGTTATACGTTATGAAAATATTTTAGATCTAACTTTTCTGGAATGTGTCTACTTTCAAAATAAATTATTATCTGTTCTCTCAGTTTTGATTCAACACTTGCACACTTAGCTAACTCCCAGGATGGCTCAGATGCTGCATCCAACTGCTCTGCAGTTTATACATTTCTCATTTTAATCTCTCTCTTCCTTTAGCTACCCCTTAGCTATAAAAATGCCTAATGCATGTGATGGCTTATGGCAAGGAGATAATAAATACTATTTTCTTCTCTCTCTTTATCTTTTCTTTCCTTCCTCTACCAATTCCTCAGATTGCAACAGATTTTCTAGCCTAGTGGTAATTCTGTAGTTCTTGCCTCTTGGCTTTGTATTAATTGCATTTTCATGAATCCTGGGGATTAACTTTGGCTTTTTCTCACTATTTTTATAAACTTGGTAATGTTGAAATGACTTGAAACATGATTTATTCACTTTATTTCAGAGTCCTGTTCAATGTTAAATGTAGGTTGTAAAATAATATGTTCAGTATGATTCTACTTTTGTTCACATACTAAACACACACACACACACACACACACACACATACACACACACACACCACGCTAATACACATGTGTAGAAAACACTCTGGAGGTATATGTTCCAAATGGTAATCTTTACCCTAAATGAGACTCTTAGTGATTACATGTTTTTTCTTTTTGCTCATTTATATTTTCTAATTTTTCCTAGAATATACATCTGTTGCTGGTGTAATTAAAAAAGACAGAAATGCTTTACAAAGTCATTCTCAAGCTTTCTGTATGATCAGTGCAAAATTTGACACTCATCCACGTGTGTTGTTAATGGTAACAAGAGTTTTGTTTGAAATGGCACTTATTTTTGGAAGACACCAGGACAACTGAGTCACCCGTTGTATTTTAGGGAAAAGGATGAAACAAGAAACCCCAAAGGAACAGGTGAAGATTCACTAGGCAGATTTCTGTCTTGTACTGAAAGTTTTTTGGGTCAAGATATATGTATGTGCATGAGCTCAGATGGAACTTTCCTGAGCTACGGAAGGGCTGAATTTAGCAGTGAGCTAAAGCTCTCAGTCACTTAGCGCATCATCCAGCAGAGAATAGCTAGTGTGTCCTGGGGCTTTGTATACTGAAAAGAGGTCCAGTAAGCACACCATGTTCTTAGAGCATGCTGGCCTTGCCTGTCTCCAAATGGCTCCACGATAGCAAGCATTTCCCAAAGCACCACCAGCTGCCAATGTGACTCACAGGCAACGGCCTCTAGGATCTTCATGAATCACAGCTCACGGGCAGGCTCCTGCTCAGCTGAGACATGTCAGTAATTGAAATTATATCCTCACTGGTTACTGTGTACTTTTAGAAACCCAGATTAGCTTTCCTCAGGGAAACACTGTTGTGCTGGGCAAGGCATACACCTGTTTCTCATCATCTTGTGCACAGCTCGATGCTGTTGCAAGCGCCTGGCCATTCGTGATGGCAGAATTTGCGAGAGGGAAGTGGTGGAGAGAGAGGGAGGTGGATGGATGTAGTTGTTTGACTTGGAGTGCACAATCTGATCAAAAGTGTTTAGCACCGGGCTTGGCTGGCTTAGAAGAAAGAGTACAAGCTTGGTAAATAGATACCAGGTTTTGAATCCAATTTCCATCACATATTTTGTATTAACATCTTAGAGCCTCAGCTTCCTCATCTATAAAATGGGCACAGAGCAGATTTCTTCTTAGATTTGTTGTGAGGATAAAGACATGGAATACTTGTAAATAACACATATGGCAGACAGATATAGCAGACATTCAGTGTTCCTTTCCCTCTAGTCACTTTCTAGGTTTGTTGCTGACAATTGGAATAGACCAGGGGTTCACAGGTTTTTTTTTCTATAAAGGGACATATAGCAAGTGTTTTAGGTTTTGTGGGCCAGGAGGCAAGATTGAGGATATTATGTACATACTTACGTTACAGAGAGAAAACTAATTTCCACCAATTTTTAATTGATGAAATTCAAAATATAATAATAATAGGTTAAAGTTTTTCTAATATAGACCGACCAGTGAAAAGAAAGGGATTCTTTTTCTGGGGACACAGGATTTCACTTAATTGGGGCTCAAAGTTATCATCAAATTTATTGCCCATGTTCATCTGTACAAACCATTCTTAACTTGCAGACCAAATAAAAGCAGGTAGCAGGCTGAATTTGGTCCACAGGCTATAGTTTGCCAATTCCTGGTGTAATCCGTTTACCGCTAATGCCAGTCTCTGCTTGTGCTCTAAACCAATCATCCATGATAGGTAAATAATTTGAAATCATAACTGCTACATAAACAACTATCGGAGGGCTACCATCTGGAAAGGAAGATGAAATAATTCAACCTTTAAATAAACAGGCTTTTAGAAGCTGACCGAGTGCTTATTCTATTTGATCAATTTGTGGCTGCAATCTGGAAAACAGTGGGAAGAAATTATCAGGCCACACAAAGTGACCACCTATCACAGAGATCAAGCAGTGGACCATCATGGAAATAGTTACTCACACAGGTTCTTTCTGTTTCCTGTCAAATAAGAAATGGACATGCCTGTTTGTAGTAATCCCTCTAAAGGGGGGATTAAAATTTGGCACGTAAAATAATGAGTGTCCCTTCCTGCTGCCCTTCCGCTGACCTGGCTGGCCAGTTAGTGGACAGATGTGAGTCCACAGCAGATTGAGGCTGGTGAGTAGAGACGGCGCTTTACGGGGCTCGTTGTGTTGGATTCACAACGATGGATCCAACTCCACCTGCCAAGGTGGCCATCAGTGGCACAAATGAGATGCACTTAGGAATTTTTGGTGTGTATTGATTTTATGCATTGACATAAAATCAAGTAAAACAGGTCACTAAGCATCAATTTTTGCAGCAAAAATAAATCCATTCTACCCAGAATCCTGGCATTCACAGTGAGGAAGCACGGCAGGAGGGTCGAATTGTGGCTGTAGCCGTTCTGGAACCTACAGCAGTGCCTGGCTGGCTGTGACAGAAGTCTAGGCACAATGAAAAGCTGTTCAGGGATTCTTGAGCCCGGGGCTTTGACAAAGTTTCTGCTGCATCTCAGCAGACTCTACAGAGGAGCAGATGATAAATTCTCAGGTGGGACAAGGGAATCCAGATTTTGATGCATGTGGTTTTAAAATCCCAGATTTATATTTCTAGCGTGCCGAACACTTGGCAACAGATTCTCTTGGAGAGAGTAATGACAAGCAACCTCTGAGTACACCAACAGCATCCTTCATTTGATCAGATTCAGATTCACCTAGTTAAATTACCCATAAATGTTCTCATGAAAACAGGGACGAAAGAATAATATGGGTCATATTCTTTCTACAAAGGGAACATGTTTTTGTGGAAAGCTAATACATAGTGGAAACTATCCAGTGGAACAGAGGGGATCAGGGTGGGTATTAGGATGAAGCAACATGATAAGACATTGTTGATAACTGAATTGCCAACAGAGGAACGTACGTGTTTCTGAATACGTGAGTGATAGATATGGAAGAGGGCTGAAGCACATAGAGCAGAAAGGACTACGCTTTATTAGAAAGGATCCAACTAGAAGAGCTAGTTACTTACTATCTATGTGAGATAAAGGAATGACACCCAATGGCAATACATAGTTTGAGATTCATTGAGATCTTGTGAGTATTAACAGTGTCTGCCATGCCAATGGTGATAAAGCTTTTTAGGGCAACTGAAGAAAGGTGAATTTGGAAAGTGCTTACAACTTCTTGTAACTAACTTCTTCTTAGAAAAATAGCTATTTTTGAGGCAGAAATATTTTAAAGTGTGTTGTTTTAGCTGAAGAGCAATGTTTAGCCAAGGAGTATTTAGCAAATGAGCTTTGGTGATGGGTTTAAAAAATATTTCTTCTCTGAGCTTATGCAAATGCATCTTTTCTCCATTTGTGTGTCAAGAGAACACAGAGCAAATGCATTTCCTCTGAGGTTTATCTAACCGATTGGGATAAAATACACAATTCATGTAAGGATAAATGTCAAGAAGAAGAACTGAAGTATACTTCCAAGCAAAATTTATTAGATGTCTATTCAAGAAAAACACAATGACCTTTGCTTGTAAGAATTCAAAGTCAATTACCTAAAAGCTAGGTATGAATATTTTTCCTTTTAAAATCAGATACAGAGAATAGAAACATTAATTTTTCTTAAATATGACAGGCAACAGATATTGAATTTTTTCTCATAAATGGCATCAAAGGTAATTATTCATTTATCAGCAAAGCTGCATGCAGTTGACCTAATTTCAAACCCAAAGCCTTTAAAATATAAAGCTGGCTGTGAACTTGACAGTAATCAAGGTAGTAATCAAGGCTACTCAAAGATGTTTCTTTACCTTCTTTCTAATGAAATTCCTCTCTAATCGGTAGTTATATACATTTCAGTTTGGCTGCTAAGATGTTTTATGTTCATAAACTTTTGCAGAAGTGCTATCTTACAGAATTGCACTGTCAAGGCATAATGATGATTTGTGGGAGATGTAAAGGGTAATCTGTTGAAAGTGTTTTAGCTTAGTTTAAAGGAAGGATAAAGACCAAATTAGGAAATTCCCCTGTTTTCTCAACAACTAAATAGTCCATACAAAAAATGAGCAAACATATGTACAAAATTCTAGAGTCTACATGCATTGTGAAAAGATCAACCACTGTTCACAGAAGAAATGCCATAAAAAGTTTTGTCTATAAGGTGCTCAGGATCCAAATATGAATAGTTCTTATGCAAAGTCATAAGAAATACAAAGCTAGTTCTCGGGGTATGTGTAATTCAGGCACTGTTAAGCACATTAAATCTTTCAGGTCCCAATATCGTCTTCAAGGTTTCTACTGCAGGGCAGAAAATTTAACCTGAATGATTTAACATCGCTTCTAAAAAGTGCCTAATGTATTCTGAGGAAATATTTTACACACACTAGGAAAATCAGGCTCAACATATTCCTGTCCTCAAATGTAGCCAGGATTCTGAGTTCCAGAGAAGAAAAATAATTATCATAGTAAAAATAATTGTACTGATCATAATCCTTACTAAAACCAGCCTTAATACTTGTGATGCTTCTGAAGTACTCTATTTCTATAAAATAATATGTGAGATTCTTTTACATTTCCATAAATGTACAACATATCTTATGGATTGTCTGTTCTCATACAATCTCAAATGTGTATGTGTACACACAGTGAAATCTTACCTATGAATATTGCTTACAGATGCTTTCAAGTGTCTATGTTAGAATGATTCTTTGCACCTCTCACTAACACTGCTTTTATTTAACTTTTATCAGATAAATAAAACACTAAGAGCTCATTGTTCATGATGCTGATTATTACATTTTAATATAAAATAGCAATGCAACTTTACAACACAATCGTTTTCTGTAATCTAGCTAAACCTCTTATATTCTCCTGATTATTACCAAAGGCTCTTTATTCACTTATTGTTTGCACTTCTAAAAAGTACAAAAAAAAAAAAAATCCTGCAGAAGACTCCTATTTGAAACTCACATTCAATTCAACAAAATCACACTCATTCGAATTAACTTTCCTACTCTCGCTTTAGATTCTGTAATCACTGTGCATATTACAACATATAAGTGCAGGCAAACAATAGCTGAAGTACAGTTGTCATATCGTGTAAACCAGGACACTAGGCAAACTCGTGAAAGGAAAATATACTGCCAAGCTAAGAAGGTGAAAATGCAAACCCCAGCAAGGAGTAATAAACAAGCTTCTGGTTGCCTGAGGGGAGAACATCTTTCAGAGTGGACAAGAGAGCCTCCTTGAGACACTTACTTTTTTGCCTCAACTACTCAACCGTTATTAAGTATAATGATTTTCTTTATGCTGCCGCATATTGACTTTTCAAAGTTTAGAGCAGACGGCAGGAATATGCACTTTCACACCGAAGCAAATCCTCCAATCTCCCCACCGCAGCGGCAGTTCCATTGCTGGTGGTTTGGTGGCAGATGGAGATGGTGATGGTGGGTGACTTCTATTGGAAACCAGAAGGCGTAACAGCAGGAGGCCTGTGGAGATCTTTCAGGCAAGGTTATGCAGATGTGGTGCTGAAATGCAGCATAAATAATGGGGAGAGTGATTCACAGCCTCTTGACATAGTTCCCGGGAAAAGTACCAAAGAATTTGGTTCTTCTTGAGGTTCCTGAAAATAGAAGTGATACATGAAAGAGGGGTAACAGCCATGAAATGTCAGTTCATCTATGTGGGCTTGAAAACTCACTAAGAGAGCAAGCCCTCAGGGTTTGGAAAAGAGAGAAAACTCACTTGAAGGGATAGGAAGACAAAGTAAGCAGTTTTATCTGTTTTGCCTGATGCCTCTGTTGCCTCTTGAGCTTAAATGCTGTGCTTCCATCACACCGGGCTGAACAGAAAGCTCAGCCTCTCAGTCTGAGGGGAGAGACAGTCTTGCTGAGGAGGTGGGCTTTTGTTTTTTTTTTGCGATACGCGGGCCTCTCACTGCTGTGGCCTCTCCCGTTGCGGAGCACAGGCTCCGGACGCGCAGGCTCAGCGGCCATGGCTCACGGGACCGGCTCCTCCGCGGCATGTGGGATCCTCCCGGACCGGGGCACGAATCGTGTCCCCTGCATCGGCAGGCGGACTCTCAACCACTGCGCCACCAGGGAAGCCCAGAGGTGGGATTTTAAGTACGATGATACTCAAGTCTGATGAGGCTCCATTACCGAGGCTGCTAGACAGGAGTGAGGAGTGGAATAGGAAACGCAGCTGGGAAGTGACATTTTCAAATCCAATCTTCTCAGTTAGGATAAGGCTGGCCACGTGATAAGGTAGGCTGGAAAAGCACCACAGCAAGGCTTGGTTCTGGGAGCAGGACGTCTGTCACAGCTCCTCAGCACAGTGTAACGTGAAGGCTTTACTGGGGCTGCCATCACTCTCCAGTTTTATTATCTCATATGAGCGCCACAGCATTCATTTACAAATAGCACTGCCAGAGTCCTTAATAAAATATAGAAAATTTGAACTATTTACCAAGTCACTAAAGAAAAGAAAGATAGACCACTACTAGTGGGCGGGGGTTCTATCACTGGGCATGTTTCTAATATGAGGAGTAAAACCAAATGCATAAGTGGCCATCATTATGATCGCCTTTGGATTAGAATAACATGATTTCTTTGAAACTGTTTGGAAGAGCTAGTGCACTAAATTCTTCCTTATGATTTCCAGCTCACATAGAGCGAACAGGGTCTCTACACTTCCCTTTTGCATTTACTGTCCTGGTTTGATGACTGATTTTCTTTATCCCTGTGTAGGTAAGCCATTTTACCTTCTTCTAAATGGGGGATTAATATAAACAGAGGCAGAGGCTTGTGGCTGCTAATGTGGCCTTTGCTCTTATATTTCCCCACTGTTGGCCTGTCTACAGAAAGCCCTTATTCCCTCATCTTTTGTCTCCTCCATCCTCCTATGCCTCTGATTCCTCTTTACCTCTTTCCTCTGTGACTTAGTATATGATACTCTTGTCTACAAAATTTTTCTCAGAAAACCTCTAGTTTTCTTTTAAGACGGTAAGAATGGGATTGTTTTTTAAGTGGTGAGAATGGAACTTCTACTTGGACCACACATTAAAGCGAAGGTGAATCACTGGTGTTTTAGGGCACCTACAGCAGACCTAGTCATGGGTGAGTTGTTCATTTCATCTTGTTTTCTCAAATTAGATCCTCACTGCTGACGACTAACATTTACCACTCAACAAGGGTATTGGTATTTTGCATCTAGGGAGCAGTTTCGTTGTTTTTGTTCTTAGATCTCAGTCTTTCCTGGTTGGTGCTATTTAAAGAAATTTTCTTCTCTCAGTTGAACTGGAAATAAAACCAGCAGAAAATCACGTATACCTGAAGCAGTAAATACTAAACTATATTAAAAATGCAATTGCCGGGCTTCCCTGGTGGCGCAGTGGTTGAGAGTCCACCTGCCGATTCAGGGGACACGGGTTCGTGCCCCGGTCCGGGAGGATCCCACATGCCGTGGAGCGGCTGGGCCCGTGAGCCATGGCCGCTGAGCCTGCGCGTCCGGAGCCTGTGCTCCGCAACGGGAGAGGCCACAGCAGTGAGAGGCCCGCGTACCGCAAAAAAAAAAAAGTCATTGCCTTGGGATTACATAGTGCATATGGATGTGTGAAAGATCAAAGGCATTATGAAATCAAAGAAAGCTTGACTATCGCATCCAACCGTGCAAGGGAGCAAACATAAGCAAATTACAAAATGGCCAATGTACACATACCCACAAACCATCCATCATCACATTTTTCCATCACGTCAATGACATCACTTTCTCTGAGCTCCAGCTCGTCTTCATTCCTAGGAGTATAGTTATACAGAGCCTGAAACCTTAAACAGGACAAAGGGACGCGTTAAACAAAATCTTTATGCCTCTGTGAAACAGAAGAGAGTATAATATTTATTTTACTTTTAACATTTCTATTCTTATTAACATATTAATTAGGTAGTATAAGTCTTTGGTAAGCATGTAAAGTAAGTAGAAGTAGTTAGGCTTTCATGGGAATTAGACCACTCTAATAGCATTTCAAAACTCGTAATGAGGAAAATTTATGGAAGATTCTAATATCCATAGTTGGATTAAAACATTTATAAATTGGACCTGCATTTCAATTGTCCAGTCATGGATAGCTATCATTCGGACATTAAATGATAGTACAGAATATAAAAGAAGTGATATGTGCATTATTCAGCTATATAAAAACAAGAAGGAATTACAGTTTTAATTAGCCATAATCAGAAGCAAGTAATTGCAGCTTGCAAGTGGAATTTTCAAAAGATTCTAAATTGAGATGCACAAAATGTCTCAGATACAACTTGTAAATCACTGTATGGGAATTACTATAACAGAGAATATAACAGAGAAGTGTTCTTTGTTTTTGTTTCTTTTTGTTTTTTACCAGGAGGAATTCTTTAAAGCAGTTTAGTTTCATAGTTTGAATCAGTGTAAGTGGTGATCTCAAACAGTAGGTTAGGGACATGTGTTCCTTTTTAAATGGGTCTCAGAGAAATTGTGTTCAATGTAAAAACTCTCAAAATAATCATATAAAAAAGAATTACTGATAGAATGCTGCCACTTTCTCTGTCTGAATTCTTTGAGAACACATATTTTGTTGACATTGATCAGTAGCAAACTCAGACATTGAATTTTTGGTAATAAAATAGCATGCATATTCATATGGACTGGCATTTTGGAAAGACACAAGTTCTAGCAGCTCGGAGTCAGGAAGCATTTGATATGCAGTGAACATGAAAACTTCATATTACCACTAAAATATTATCAGTATGTGAGGGGGATTTTTTTTAAAAGTTAGTGAATTTGTTTCTGCCGTTCTTCATAACAGTTAATGTAATTCTGCCAATGTAAGAAAATAAGAACCACATTTCAGGGCACTGTGAATTTTTTCAAGCCAACTTTAAAAGGTTGATAATATTGGATACTGCTCAGGAACAAGAATGATTTATTTTGATTACTTCATTCAGTCAGAAAATCATACTTTGGTAGAACAAAACTATTCTATCATGTCACCTGAACTCAAACATCATGTGATAAACTGGGGCCTCGGCTGCATTGGCTTCTCTCCCTGTCCTTGAACTTTTCACATTGGGGGGTCTGGATAAAGTTGGATTGGGGGAGGGTGTATTGGGGAAAGAGCTGATAAGATGTGGTGCCTAACAGCCTCTCCTAGAAACATTATCTTCCCTGGCCTGAGAGCAAAGCCTGAAATTCCAACGTTAGAGATTTCTTCCCCTGTTAATATTTTGTCCTCCTAGTAAACCTTTCTAACCACTTGAGCTTCTGAGGTCTTCTATGGAAAAAGGATTCTCTGATTGTGGGGAAGGACAAAGAAAGGTAGCCTGAATTCCAGAGCCATGTGAAAACAGACAGGAAGGTCTTGAATACCGACATTCCTTAATTTGGATGTTTGCATGGGCCAACCCTGGTTGGAACAAATTATTCTGCTGTTTGATTTGAAGATGCTCAGGTGAAGGAATGGTATCTCTTGTCTATCCCTGGGGAAAGTTAATTTCACCATAGTTCCTTTTACAATCTCACATTTGAGGGAGATAGGCATTCCTGGGCTGTTAATTCCATGGATATACATTGCATCTCTCACTTTGGGAAACACTGATTCTCTGAGCTTTTCAACCTTCAGCCTTCACCCAGGCACATCTCCAGCCACTTACAGAGACAGGCCTATTTAAGGCCACAAACCCCAGCTGCTTGAAGAATCTCAAGGTCCCAAGAGATTAAAAAAAAAAAAAAATTGGCATGAACTCCTTCACTTTGATATGATGAAAGCCACTATGCTTATCAGAGTTTACTTACCATTCTGGTTTAATTAGACCACCAAAAAAAAAAAAAAAATTGGAAGTTTCATGGAAACATAAACAAACCTTCTGGAAATCCTCCTGCCTCTGCTGGCTTTCAAAATCAGTATTGCACGACAGGAAATGCAGTCGAATTACAATAAAAAAATGCTGTTTTGAAAGATGTGTTGGTGAGATGAATGATGGTGGTGGGGTTAGGATGCCTCAAAAAGAAATGTCTTTTAAATAGGAAATGCTCAACCAAACTTGAAGCTCTCTCTATAACTTGCAACTTCTTCTATAACATATTTTACCATACTTCTGAATTGCAGTGACATTATAACATTATGTTCCTATTTTCACTAAAACCTATTTCTTAAATGAAAGAGATTAAGTGATACCCATCTAATTGGCATTGTGATCAAATAGAAATTTAATAAAGAATGTTTTATGTCCAAAGCAGGACACTGAAAATGCCTTTTTCCACCTGTGAGCTCATAAACACGAGGAAGCATTAACTTCGTGACATGAAACAGTGTGACATCACCTACATCTTAATTCATAAATTCATTAAAAGCTGCTGATATAATGTGTTGATAATGCAGTAAACCTAAGCAGCCTTGGGATTTACTTTTTGTGATGTGATCCCTTCATCATTTGTGTAAATAAGGAAACACAAACCTTTCGAGTTACAAGTTATATTTAACATTTTTCCAAGTAAATGAAAGTTTGAATTATTTGTACCTCCAAGCTATTTTTTCAGTCTTTTCCTTAACAAATAAAACCTTTCTGGCTGTACTCCGTGAGAGCCAGTTTCAGGTTAGAGATGGTTTCCGAGGAGCATGCTTTTAGCTGAGCACCAGGTCTGTGAGGAGTGAGGTCACCAGGCCCCCCTGGTTTGCTCTGCTCCAGGGGAGCAGAGCTTGGACAGTGGGAAGGAGGCACGCTGTGTGTGCTCAAGTCAGCCTGACATGGTTTAGTCCTGTAAATGTTCCTTCCCAGTGTCTAGCTCTGCACTCAGAGTAGGCAACAGCCAACAGGAAGTGGATAACCTCTGAATATCTCTCATGGGCAAAATGGGGCAGAAAGAGACCCTAAAAGACAATGTGTGACACCTTCAGATTGATTCGACTTAGAAAGGAGAGGGGATTTGAAAGAAAGTGTGAAAAGGCATTTTCCTGGTCCTCTGGGTAGTGAACATCGTGTAACTGAATGACAGTGCATGTTTTAATACTGCCATTTCCAAAAGAATGGAACTTTGGAATTATGCTACTAACTTATCACTGTAGGTCTACTTTGACATTCTCCTGCTCTTCAAATATGTGTAAAAACAATGTTAGAACATTTTCAGTGTACCTTTAAGGCTGTAGTTACTAGAATCTACGTGGTGAGTAGAACAGAGCGGGAGACAGATTCATGAATCTTAGGAATCACTGCAGCATTGGAAGGGTTTTTTCTTAGTGCATAAATCAAAGTCTTCTCCGCAAAATCACGGATTTTTTTTTCTTAAATTAGCTTCTGTTCTCTGTTGTGAAAGATGGAGACTATTGCAATTTCTCTTAATCTGGGAGATGTCATCTCATGTTAGTTACTCTGATCTCTTTCATTTGCAAAGTTGTACCATCCTCGCTTGTGGTACATCAGTGGTCCATTTTGTGGGTCAAGGTTAGTCTTGAATTTAGAAGATAAGAAGAATACTTACGGTTCCCCCCCACCTTGAATGTTTTCATGAGTAAACACAGGACGCTGTGGCTGAAATGAAATGATTTTCAATGTAATCAATGCTTAAACTGGTACTAATTAAAAGATAATTTGGATAATGGCATGGCACTTTTCTTGACATTTAATATTTCCTGTTGTAAAAAACCAAGAGGAAGGGAAAAAAACCAAATAAAGGGTTTCTGCTGGATTAATAATTAAAATATTTTGAAAGGTGCTTTAAATTAAATTGAAATAACCAAGGTTCAAATGTTTTGAACATATCTGCAATCTTGTCTGCTCAAGCTTTAAGGAAGAGTCAGGGTTTAGTCCCATTGATTTTTCAAAGGCCAGGAACATGGCAAGAACATAGACACCAAATCACTAGACTGGGAAGTCTGGACACCTTCATACAACCTTATTCTTCAGCGTTTTCTCAAACAAGCAAAGAATAAACCACATTTAGTCTAACAGCAAAGTATCCACATTCATTCTAATATACTTTTCCTTCACACACAACATTTTCACATACAGTACAGATAAACATGTCAAGAGGCAGACATGTCATGCTACATTTGAAGTTACACTCTCTGTTCTCAATGTGGAGGAAACACATGCATTTTTAAAAAGAGAAAACAGAGAGTATGAAATAGCATGTAACAAACAATATCCAGGTAACATGTAACATTTTACCTTAGAAGAGAAATATTGGTAGAAATTCCCAGTGCACTGAACTCTCAAAAGAGTTTCCTTTCTTTTTAAACTAAGCATCAAGACCAGTATCTGTAATAGATACTTATAATATTGGAAATGACAAGCCTTTGCATCCCATATATCCACATAAAAATTGCAATGAATGAAAGTTCACACATTTCTTGAATATGTAAACACAATGTAGTTTATACCGACTACCTAAATGTTACCTTTTAAGGGGGGAAAAAAGAATTTCAGTTCATTCATAACACACTTCAAAAGCATTCTCTTCTAAATGATGGCTGCATGGTAAAATGAGATAAACCAGAGTTTGCATGGCAAATTGCATGGCAATTGTAAGTGATTCTTTATTGATGACTGCATTCATTTTTAGATCCATGTCTTTAGAGCTCAGGGCTAATTCCTGGATCCCGGAGTTAGGAATGGATTACTGAGAGGCTGGGAATTCCCCCTGCAGACTGTCCATAGAAACCCCATTGGTCCAAGAACGGAGGGGGACTCTGGGGCTCCTCTGAGTCTTCGAGTCTACAATCTGCTCCCTTCCTGCGTTCTTTATCCACTCCCTTCCCATCCAAGCTGTCTATCTAGCATAGTAGACTAGGTGCTTACTACTAAAACTTTAAGCTTTCAGTTAATAGTAATTGGAAATGTTTACGAACAGTATTCTTAGAAATTTCACTCAACAGTCTGTGCATGGAATATATAAGCATAAGATTAAAGAGTGGATAAAAATTATCAGACACATGTATGACTTAAGAGTATAATACTTACCCTATAAATCAACATAAAATAACTAACAATGTATCTATTATTAGGATTATAACATATACTATTTTAAGAATGATTAAGACTAAACCATTTTCCAGCCATTTTTAAGGTCATTTAATTCAACATATTATTGAAATCAGTTTAAATGTATGAAGAGGTAAAATAAGTCATTCATAAGCCTATACCCTATTACCTTTCTACAAGTTCTCATCCAGTCATATATATATGATGTATGTCATATATATCTTATATATATTGTTTTATGCAGAAATAAGATTTGTATATATCAATTGCTATTAATATTTTGTAATTATTTCCAGTCTCCTTTTCTCAGTCTTCCTTTTCATTTTAAATCACTGCAGAATATTATTCCCTCACATATCTGTCTATATCTTTTTTGGTTGTCTTAACCATTTCTCTCTCTCTTTTGTTTTTGAAGTTCAGATTGATCTCGCCCTTTTCACTATCATAAATAACAATACCATACAATTTTTATACAAAGAACTATTTTCTTGTTTTGAACTATCTCTTAGGACACATTTCCAGGAGTAAAATTTCGGGCCAAAGATTATGCATTGAAGCCACACGATATTAAAAATGCTGGTGTTAGTTACTCAAACACACTATATTTAAAAACGCAATTAAAAAAATCGAAAATGCCATGTTTTGAATCACATACCAAGATAGCAATGGTTCTCTCACAAAAACAATCATAGAGCAGTTTACAGTGCACAACAAAGTTATAAATAAGGAAATATTATTTGTTCTTGTCTTAAGAGAAGATCTTTTGTAAAATATATTTCATTGTGCTCTAAAAATGGCATGCCTATTTCCACATATTTAGGCCATTCTAATATTTTTGAGTTGAGTAGAAGTTTCACTTTGATATCACGGCATCCAGTGCTTGGTAAAACTGGCTGGTCTAATTTCATTGCTCCCTTACGTTAAAATGTGAATGCAACTTTCAGGATTAAACTGTTCATTAACGTAAAACAATCTACTTATAAAATCCGTATAGCACCTTTCCGTTATTGTGATTACAATTCCCCTGGTTTAATTCCTTTAATTCAACTCATCTCATAAATCATTTCAATGAACCATCTCTGTGGCAATTATGAAAATTGGGCTATTGCCAAAAGTATGTGGCTTCCTTAATTCTACAGGCCTCTAAGTCTTAAGAACTTGTGTTCCTGGGTGTGTCAGCCAGTAACATCCTTGTTTTTACTCATCTTTCTCAATACTTCCTTCATATCCTTTAAAAGGATCTACCCCCACTGTTTTGTTTTTTCTGAATCACTGGTTTTCTATACTGTTCACATACTGAGGCTAGGATTTATCACAGCTTTTATTAGCAGAGAAGTTGTGTATCTATTATAATGGTGACTTTTAGAACTTTTCTGAGGTTACTTTTGATAGGAATCATCTCCATGTGAATATGGATAGCTAGGAGGCAGTTTTAAGGAAAGATGACCAGTTACAGCAACTGAAATAATTTATTTTAAAAGTCTTTTGGGACTTCCCTAATGGTGCAGTGGTTAAGAATCCACCTGCCAATGCAGAGGACACAGGTTTGATCCCTGGTCCGGGAAGATCCCACATGCTGTGGAGCAACTAAGCCCGTGTGCCACAACTACTGAGCCTGCGCTCTAGAGCATGCGAGCCACAACTACTGAGCCCACGCGCCACAACTACTGAAGCCCGCGCGCCTAGAGCCCGTGCTCCGCAACAAGAGAAGCCGCTGCAATGAGAAGCCTGCGCACCGCAAGGAAGAGTAGCCCCCACTTGCCGCAACTAGAGAAAGCCCGTGCGCGGCAACGAAGACCCAACGCAGCCAAAAATAAATAAATTAATTAAATAAATAAATTTATATTACAAAATAGTCTTTGGTCAATAGAGGAATAAGCAGCACAGATACTTATGAGGGCATGTTTGTGTCTTTCCAGTGTTGGCGATGACTAACTATATGACCTTGGATATGTACCTCAGCTTCCTTATCTCTAAAATCAAGGAGGTGGACAAGTTGATGGTTTAGATCTTGTCCCCCTCAGGGAATCCATAAAGGAATCCACGTTTCCACAGATATATTTCCTCTGATACTCATTCAGTTGTCAGAGAGCTATGACAACTGGCTTTGGTTAATTCCCAAGTGTCTCAGTCATGTAAAAACAATTAATTTTAAAACAATAATTAAACTTCATTTTTCAGATCAGTAAACCAAAACCCAAAGATAATTTCTTAATATCACAAATAAGCAAGAAGGAACAGAACTACAATTCTGACTCTCACTCTTTATTGCATAAAAGCTTACTATGATGGAATAGATAGCGCAGGCTTTTTAAAATCAACACCTTAATTTTTTTCCTTTAGGCAAGTGTTTATGTTCTGTATGGATACCCAAACAAATTGTCGTAGAAGGTTGTCTTTTGCCTTTCCCCTTCCTTGTAACTGGGCACAAACCCTGGGGCAAAGACCTGTGAGGTATCTGCACTCTTTTGCCACCTAATGGTGAGTAATGGCAGCAACATGTTAAAAGTTATTTTGCCTTTGGACAGCTCTCACCAAGTTGCTTCAGCCTGGATTCATTTTGAAAGGATATTTTAAAGACCACAGAGCGATGTGGAATAGATATTCATCTGTTTTTCTGACCATGTTCTTCCTATCCCACATTTTAAATTCTTGAGAAAGGATCAGTCTTTAGCCACCAGTATTTTTGGTCTGTGTTCACTTGTATTTTCACTATCTGCTCAGGCATTTCTATTACTCATAACTTCTTAGCGGTTTTGTGATAAATATAGAAGATACATGAGTGACATTCAAGAAGCTCATATGAGCTGTGAGTTTAAAAAGATGATTTTGAAGTTAACAGATTGCAGTCACTGTGCTGGAAATTTTAAGCGAGAATTATGTCATATTTATATTTCCTTAATGAGTCTTAAGAGCACAATAAAAATTAGAAAACCCAATGAAACATGCTGTTTTTATAGAATCCTAAATATTTAGCTTTTTCCTTGGCAATGCAACAATCTTTTTTTTCTCTTTTAGTGTAGCTGTTTTTTAGTGTTGTCAAAAGCAGATACAAATGAGACAGGTTTTAAACACATGCTAATTTTCAAAGCCAGAACCAATCACAAGCCACTGCTCATAAGAAAGTTGGTTTGAAATATCCTAGAACCTTAGGTATCAGTAAAATATATACTTTTCTAGCTGAGATAGTAAGGCACAGTCTATCCTAAACCTACCTTCTTACCTGTGCTTCTGCAGAGGCATCTGGAGGATTAGCTATATCTAGTACTAGGTAATTCTTAGGTAAGGATTGACCATTACTTTAAATACTAATGTGGGAAAATCTTTGAAAGAGCTATTAGCAGTTCTAGAGTTCTTATTTTTTTTTCCCAGAAAATGTTAGGTGTGGTACTTGCCAACCAGAATTAGATGAAATTCTCTTAATAACAAACAGTACCATGTTTATGTTTCTAGGCGTATTTTTCTTTCTTACCTTATACAATTATTTTAAATATTTAAATTATTTTTTAAATTGTGGAAACACAACTTTGCCTAAATCTAGAGAATAT